ACTCCAGAGACGAGAGAGAGTAAAGAACAGCACAGAAGCTGATCTACAGTTTTCAGTTAAGCACCAGAGACTAAATGGGCAACAACTCCCAGATTAAAAAGGATATTTTTCTGCATTATCAACAAGAGATGAAAATTTATCATAAAAATCAAAATATTTTTGAAATAGCTGTAATAAGGTACCAAAGACAGCTATGGCTTTGGATGTTATTTGATGTCAATCAAAACTATTCAAAAAGCAGAGCAGGGATGGGGGAAGGCAGACAAATGAATCCATATGATAGTTATGTATAAAACTTTAATAATTCTTTCAGCTGGGGCAAAATTATCCGTAATGCTTACTTCATGTCATTACTTTTTTTCACTCAAATATTATTAAACTCAATGGGTGTTCTGCATTTCAGAGTGGAATGGTGTGTCCATTATCTCAAAAGTCAAGTCTACTCACAATGGGCTGTCCTGGGGTTGGTGGTTTGTCTTCTCCATCACTCCCTGAGGAAATGTCATCTGCACCTCCAAACAGATCCATGACATCTGCATGCTCTTGAGCAGAAAAATTGCTATTTTAAAACACACTTATATGTGCACACACAGGCCTAATGCAAGAACACTCACAGAAAAAAAAAGGTTAACAAATCCCTCGCTCTTATTAACACTTGAAATCACCTACAGAGGTTAAAAATTTCAAATGTTTATGAAGCCCACATTATTCCCTTATCCTGAAAAACAGTTTTTCCATGTATTTTTAAGCTAAGGATTCAAGGTATGTTTTCCTGGGAAGACTCTATCAAATAAGGGAACGTAGTTGAAAAATGGCAACAGAAGAATGTAAGATAATCCTTATTCAAGTAACTTGAACATAAGCAACAGCAACTTCATTATACATTTTGGAGGTTTTACTTCTCAGAAAATCAACACTTCTCTCTCAAGCCAGCTAACCCACCACAAAAACCAGTACAGGTTCCCTGGGCTGCTCTGATTAAAGGAACCATTTCTTAACATCTTTCAATAAAAACATATTGAAAGAACATTCACAGAAGAAAAGTTCATGGAGGAAGCTGAAAAGCTGACAGAACTAACCAGAGAGATTCAGAAGCACAGCATGTATCCCCCCCACAGAATTCCCGCTGTTTCATTATTTCCATGGCACTACAGTCACATGTACAGCAAGTGCTACCAATTCTATCCTGGAGCAGATGAATGGCACCTCAAGATGATGATTAAAGGACTCAAACCCCCACAAAACAACAACACAATTTACCTTTCTGCCCTTCTGTATCACTCTCCACTTCTGAATCTGATGCAATTGGTTTCTTTCGCTTCATTCGCAGAACTTCATCTTCGCTGTCGCTGCCCCTTGCAGACTCTACCAAGGAGCATAATTATTCTCAGCAAATTAAAAACTTTGCTCCACAAATTTTAAAATGCCTTTGTATTAGTAAGCTGATTCAGAGGAAAAGGAATTTTAAAAGTGCTGCATAAAAAAAGCATTACAAAGATGACTACAGTCGAAAGCTACACAATTAATGCCTTTACACTGAAGTTTGAATCTTTTCAGGCCAACGCAAACAAAACAATAGAGACCAAACCAGCAGCAAATCATTACTTCTGTACTCAGTCCTACCGGATTTGTGCTCTTGCTCCTCCTCATCAGAGTGCTGGGCCCTTTCCTCATCATCAGAGTTCTGCATCTTCTCCTCATCAGAACGCTGGGCCCTTTCATCGTCATCTGAGTTCTGCATCTTCTCCTCGTCTGAGGCCTGTGGCCTCTCCTCATCATCGGAGTTCTGCATTTTCTCCTCATCCGAGTTCTGGAGTCTTTCCTCGTCATCAGACACCTGTGGCCTTTCATCCTCATCCGAGTTCTGCGCCTTCTCCTCATCGTCGGAGTTCTGCTGCCTCTCCTCATCATCAGAGTTCTGCTGCCTCTCCTCATCATCCGACTGATCACTTTTGTCCTCCTTGCCCCACTTCTCGTCCTCTGAATGTGCTTTTTCAGAACCATCTCCCTCTGAGTGGTGACTGCCTTCATCTGAGCCGTGATCACGATCATCCTCGTCGTCGTCATGAGCAGCTTCTGAGGCGCTGTGCTGGTCCCCGTCCGACTGGTCGTTGTCCTCGTGCTCAGAGTGCCCCGAGGCCTCAGAGCGATTGTAGGACCTTTCAGAGTGGTTGTCACTCCCTGAGTGATGGGATGCTCCTTCATCCTCACTGTCGTCTCCAAATAGCTCCTTATTGCTGGGTTTTACTGCCTCCCTGTCATCGTCCTGGTCACTGTCGCTTCCAGAGGCGTTGCTACCAGAACCGGCGTTTTCCTGGTCGGAATCTGAATCAGATCCAGAGTCAGAATCTGCAAAACAAGCATCACCCTTTCAAAAGTCAAAATGTCCCTACAAGGATGCCCATAAGATGATGGGCATTGCTTAACACTAACCCCCCCACCACCAAAACCAACCCAAACCCCAGAGAGAGAACCTACAGAGAACTGTAAGAAGGACTGACAAAAGTTATCGAGTACAGTAAAATAAAATGTCTGCTAATAAAGGCACAGCCGAAGAAAGACACAACAAAAAATGATGCCACATGAAGTTTCAAGCCACAAGCTGTGATCTAAGATTCTAAAATTGTAGAAGGAATAAGGAATTACACAAAGGTAAATAAGATTATTAAAATACCGAAGGCTTAAACAAGTAACTACATGTACGTGGCTTACGATATCCTACAAATTCAAAAGTCACCATGTGTTTAACCTAAATCATGTAGCCGGGCACGTTTGTGCCATTGGAGCTACTCGTCAATGCTGAGGCTGGTAAACGCCGTTTCGAGCAGGAAAATAAAAGAACATCTGCCTCGAAAAGCGATTTACAAGAATGGAGACAAGTTCTTTGAAAACACGCTAAGGACCAAAGCCGGGAGGTGCTCCCTCATCCCCTCCCCTGCAGGCACCGACCCCTCGGCCCGCGGCTCCGCTCCTCCCGCGGGCCGCTCCCTCCCTGCCTCCCGCCCGAGCCCGGGCGATGCGAGAGGGGCGATACGGGGCGGGCGGGCGGCGCGGCCCGCCCGTGCGGGATGGAGGGACGACAGGGAGGCGACAAACCCGCACCTTTGTGCTCGGGCTCCGAGTCCGCGTCGCTGCCGAACAGATCCGCCATGTCGGCCATGGCGGCAGCGCGGCCCCGCCGGCGCGCGCGGGCACGTCACGGCGAGCGCCGCGAGCGCGGCCCCGCCCCAGGGCTGAGGCGCCGCCTCTTAAAGGGGCCGTGTCCGTGTGGGCTCCGGCGCCTCCTGAGGGAGGCGAGAACTCACCCAGGGTCAAAGAAAAGGGATCGCGTTTGCCCGTCTCCACCTCCGCTCTACACCGCCCGGTGCGGCTGAAACACAGCTGCACAAAGCAGCCTCACGCCCCCGCCGCATCCCTCAGGGCCCGCTGGTACGGAGTGAAATCCCGCTCCACGGCACCAGCCCCGCATTCCACCACCGTCACTCCGCTCACTTTCCCTCTGGAGAAGGAAAGGTGTTGCTTTGACACAACGTAAACACATGGGTCAGTTTTAAGCAAGTCAGTGTACTGTTTAAAAAAGCAAACAAACAAACCCCCAAAACCACAACAAGAATACAGTACTTTAATCATCCACAGCGTTTACTGGTTTACAATCTGACAGCATATAGTGCTGATAGGCTAAAACACTCAATGCATGTTTCCTCAATGGAAATTTAAATTGAACACTTGCTTGTTTGTAGCTTACAAACACAAGATTACTCAAGCTGTAGAGAGAATGAGGCTATTTCTTTAAAATACAACAGTAATAGATAATTGCTTTGAATTATAGGCTATGTTTCCATGCTTAGCTGGGAACCAAGAGAATCAATATATGCAGTCATTTGACTTCTCCATTAAGGCTGAAAAACAATCCATATGAAAAAATATCATCTCTTAGAAAAAAGACCTTGTGTTTCTGGTAAGTGGTTATCAAAGTAATACCACTCTCACTCAGAATCAATGAAGTCACACACAGGATCTCACCACACCTAACAGCAGAGCGTCCACTTGGTTTGTTGAGACCGTGTGTGATTCCTGGCTACAGACTGAATTCCCTCATTTATTCCAAACAGGATACACATTGTAGGCACAAAAGTGATTGTTGTTAATTGTTCCATGCACCATGCCAAAGGTCTTGCAACAATTTGGATGGCCAAACCCTTCTGGTTGAAAACAACAACGAAGTTTTCTGTGCCCAGTCTGTCAGATACCTGTCCTTAAAGTGCTGTCAAAGTCAAATTCTTACCTGCTGTCTACAGAGCTAAACCAATTATTAAGGTCCACTACTATCACCGGTGACAGGACACCCGAGAGCTGCAGCTTAAAGCCCCTGCCTTTGATTAGGATGTAAATAATTAAACAGCTAAACTTGATTTAACAAAAGTGAGGAAGGGATTTGGGCTATCATTTCCATAATCCAGCCTTTCAATTTTGTCCCTAATTTTCAAGAAGGAGATAACTGTCTAATCTTATTAGATGATGATAAAATAAGTCAGCATAGAATCACAATACATGAACAGATTCTCTGAATATGGCAGCCCTTCAACAAATGAAGGAAGACATCACAGCCTGTTTTTTGACACAAAATGATTATGGTGCCTAGCAAATAAAAAGTAAAGTACAGCTTTAGGCAACTCAGCACATGACATGCTTTGGCCATCTTTATACAGCACTATCTGTAAAAAAAGACACTTAAATGTGACTTCATGCACACTGTATAGGAACTTAAATTTCAAAATCTATAAAGTTCTTGGAAATTTACGAAAGCTAAAACCAAAAGAAGCCCTTTTTGTTACTCATCAGATCACTCCTAGATTTTTCAAGGTTATAGTAAGTATAGTCTTTGGTTTTAACAGAATTAATTCCAAGTTGTTTTGAAAAGCACATATTTATTTGTAATTCTAATAAAAGGCTGATTTTGAAATAGGAAAAAAAAAAGTTCTTCCACAAGTATAAACCAGTTATATACATCCTCATTGAAGGCACTATAGTTTAATATTCTCTGTTACAGTAAAATTCGAAGTCACCTCTGGAATAAAGTCTGTCTTTAAAGATCCAAAACAAGATTTGCAGCAAATTACACCGTGGGCACAGTGTCAGAGACTTGCTCTGTTAGGTTCTTATAGTATATACAAACTGATGCAAACATCTCAGTCCCCTCCATGTAAATTTGTTTTCTATACATAAAAGCTCACCACATTAAGATCTCTGAATGAAAAGAGTTGTCAGTTGAATTCTCTGTTGCTATAAATATAGCCAAGCAGTCCTTTAGAACATTTTTGTGACCTCAAAGCAAACCAGTACAGGACAGTCCAAGCAGACCTAACCAAAAAGCCTCTAGATTTTTATATTATTTCAAAGAAGTGTATTGTGATTATGTGCAGAAGTTGAAGTGATTTTTGTTGCCTTATTAGTTTGCTTAAACAACTTTAAATACTTTAATAATTACTACATCATACAGATCTGACACTACATATTGATTATTTTTTGCATGTCTTAGGTAGTGTTCCAACATCAAGACCTAAGTAAAATTGAAAAATCCTTTCTCAAAAGTGTTACTTAAGTATTAAAAAATGATAGATTTATATGAAGTACAAATAGCTTAATACAACAGCTTCAAATAAAGGATTTTTCGTTTGCCAGCAATTTAGGTCAGTGGTTTTACACTTAAGGTTGCTCTTCCTGTACAGTTATGCAGAATTTAAAATATGTATGTCCACTACTTCTAGAGAAATTGATACTTGTGAACGTAGATAAAGATTTTTAAACAAAGAATATAAACTAAATAATGTTGATGAACACATGAAATCAGTCTAAAAATATATCCAGTTCAGATACAGAGCAAGACACACTTTTGAAAAAGACTTGAAGGATTTAGGTGTAATAAAAAACCTGTCATTTTGCAAGGCTCCTAATTTTTTTTTTTTGCAAGTCTTTTGTATGAGTCCCTCTTATCTCTTGGGAGAAGTCCTTAGCCCATTTAATTTTGTTTGCCTTAAAGGGATGTCTTTAAACTTACTCACAGTATCAAGAACTAATAAAAAATAAAACAGTAGAATTACAAATAACATTGCTGTGAAAGATTTCTCTTCAGTGCATATGAACAAAGCTGAACAGCTCTACACAATGAGTCCAGCTGTTGGGTGAAGAATCCCTTATCACTAACCCATTGTTTTCAGGAATAGACACACCCCTCCACGTAAATAAGCACCCCCGGATTTTCTAACAAACATTTTAATTGGGTCATTATCTTCCCAATGACCTTAAATGTCCCTTCTTTGACTACAGACAATTATACCATTGATTTGCAATTATATTTGAAGTAGAAAGCTCAGCCGAAGTCTTGAAATACAAAAAAAGTTCTTAAAAAAAAAAACCCAGTCAAAAACCATGGTACAGAGACTGGTGCAGTTACTGTGTCTCCACGAAAAACGTGATGCATACCAGCAGATTATATAACTTTGCTTTAAAAGGAGTGGGGTTTCCAGTCTTTTCCCTTCTAAGCCAGGTCAATGTAGTCCAAGATTGCCAAAGCCCACGGTGCCGACCGTGATGACTCCACCGAGTGTTGACAGCAGGATTGCTAATTGTCTCCTTCAACCCTTCTCTTGCGAACTGCAACAAGAGGGACAAAAAAAAAAGTTTTGCTGTTTTATCATGGTAACTGTTTTTTGTATTTCTACAACACGAACATTTATTTGCCACCTGAGGTTTCACACAGCACAACTTAAGGTAATGAACACTTAGTGTAATCCATCATTTTAAGCTTATGCTTTAGCAGTGCTTATTGCCTTATTCACAAACAGTTGCAAATACTTGCAAGGGAAGACTTGTGGGAAACATTAATCATCTTATGTCTGGTAAGCAGATTTAGCCAGTACTCTTTTTTTTCATTGCAGTTTTCTAGTGCTAAATTAAGTTTATATGGCTTCAAAGGAAACAATACAAAAGTTTCACAGTATATTTAACACAATTTATACACACACAGAAGATATTACATTCAATAGCCTAAAACATTCCATTTATTAATGAAAACATTTGTTAGAAAATGCAAGAGCAATAAAAATTTGTGAATAAAATCACTAAAAGCTCACATGCTATTTAGACTTGAGAATATGCAAGATTGCCTGAATGACTGGAGTTTTCCTCAATATTTTATTATTTTTGCTATTTTTTTCACCCTATCAAATTACATTTTCCTTTTCTGTGCAGATATAAACAAGGCTACGGGTCTTACAAATTATATAGGGCATCTCATTTTGTTTTAAAAAGTCTAGCAAGCACATCTATATACAAAGAAAGTGATTCTGTTCTCAAAGCCACTCATTGGAAAGTAGGTGACAGAAGTTATTCACACCTGCTTTCATCAAATTGCAAGAACAGAGGAAAGAATTTCGAACCTTAGACTTCTCCAATCATGCAGTTAAAAGCAACAGGTGCAGTTTCAGACAAAGAACAGGGAAGTGGTACAACAGAGTGTAAGCAAGAGAGAAAGAAGATGTAGATGCAGACTATTTTTTTGGAAGAAACGTACAAAGACAGAGATGAGAGACTTGGAACATCTGAGTTTCAGTGCTGAATACCCAGCTGGGTATTCAGAGTGACCTGTCTCTGTAGCTTCACGGCTGGAGAGATGAAAAGGTATTTGCAGAAACTTTTACTCACATACTCCAGACTAAGAAAGCAAAGAAAAAAAGGCAAGATATCAATAGAAAAATAGATTTACAACAGTCAAGCACTAACAAGAGAACTAGTGAGAAGAGAAACCTTAGAAAGTAAAAAGACACCTGAAGCATTATGATAAAAAAATAACTGGTTTAGAATCTATTTTGAGAAACAGTTATAGAGTGTCTGAGTGCCTTTCTTCTCTCTCTGTGCTCTTTTCTAGTTACTCCTCCTCCATATCTTTCAGAGCTGTTCTCCTCAACTTTAACCTTTACTCAGAGGGGAAGCAGATCTTTAAACCCAATTCCAATTTCCTATGTCATTCCCTCTAATATATTCCTGAACTACTGCTACTACTACTAAACTGCCTGGCCCATTTTCATGCTGATGAGACGTATAATCTTTACCACAAAGCATCTAAAGACAGAATATTTAATTAAATAGAGTTTTAAAATGCAATTCTATTTAAACAGATGGACCACATTATCTTGTAGTTGAGTGCTACCAGTATTTGACATTATACAAACAATTTCCATTCATGTGGTATATTATTAACTGATTTTCTGCTGATCCATTTCGTTAGGATTCTAACAGATGAGCTCCAACAAAACTGACTGCAGCAAATAAAGATGCCACTGCTACCAGCTAGAGAGGCAGGGATGGTACTTGTGCATGACCAGAAGAGATGACCCAGTCCCAGCCTCTGCACGTGACAGGATGTTTGGTTTCCTTGCTTAAGCACTCCAGATGATACTGGGTGTACTGGCATTCAACAGGGCATCCTACACTGTGCATTTCCAGTACTGCTTTTAAAGAAGCAATGAATCTCATCTGAATAAAACTGAACAATCAAAACTATTATTATCACTCCTTTTGCCACAACTCACATGGAATTTGAATGTTCTTGTTCTAGACTATAGTAAAAACCCTCAACTCATACACCTGAACACCCTGCAACAAAATAGAGAACATCAAGCAGCAACAAAAGAGTAGGAGCACAGCACAGGAGAAACCTGAAACAGGTCTAACATTGTGCTATCCTGGTTTTGTCAAGGGAGAAGCAGAATAACCAGACACCTTTAAAGCCTGTGCCACATACATTCAGTTAATAGTCAGTCTCTACTGACAGGTCTTACCCAAATCATTATTTTTTGTGATAGCTGCAGCTGCCCTGGCTCGAGGTCCCTGTTGTGTGAAATGGTATCCGAATTTGAGGATCTTGGTGTTTTCTTCAAGCATTTTGGCAATTTCTACCTCTGCAAGTGTGCCCAGCTGCTGCCTCTGTTAAAATAAAAGGTACACAAAGACAACAGAGCTTATGTGTGTTCATCCTAAAAGAGATCAGAATACTTTAACTAAATCAGTCAATAAACACTCAGCTTCATTACGATTAGTTGAATAGGCAGAAGGTCACAAAATGTGTTTGTGCACTTCAAAGCACCAGGAAGCACAGAAGTGACCTGGAATCAACTTCAGCTGTGTGCTTCCAAGAATCTTAAGGGCAATTATGGAGGGTGTTAAGATAATTAAACATAAAATATTTTGAAAAGTTTATCACAAGCTGAATTCCAAAAATATTCAGTCAACTAGGACTGGCTGGTTTTAGCTTTGATATCACCACCACCACCTCACTTACCTGATTATCAATTTTGATCTCTGTCAACGTTTCATTGTCTTTCAGTGCATCAACTAGTGCCAGAATTCCAACTCCAGTGATGAAGTTTGATTCTATGTTTAAACTTTTCAATTTTGTGTTAACTCTCAACATATCCGCAAGAGCCTTTGAATGTAAGAAAGTATCATTAAACTTATGAATTTTGCTACAGTACATCATAGAACATAGAAGTAATCATTTCCATAGGAACTAGTTCCATAGGAGCAACAAGTTCACCAACACATGGTGTAACTTTGCAAGCTTTCACTTGAGACTGAACTGAATCTTCAACCATCTAATCTTCAACCATTCAATTATCTACATCCCCCTTTAAATAGTATTGAGTCAAGAAAAGGCCTGTCTTTCTCTTGTTACAAACTAAAAAGCTACACAGAATATAAATTGTCTGAAATTAGCATATTGGACCAATTCCATTTTGTAAGCCTTCACAGCCTACAATGAGTAATGCAGGCTGCTAAGTGAAGGCCAAAGAAAGGGCGTTAGTTGGCTGAAAGAACTGGATATGGTTAATTTGTAAACAGGAGATCTGACTTTCAGAATGCTTGTGCCTACAGATTTGGTAGGAAGAGGTAAAATTCAAAGCTCTAAGCACAGTACCAGCATGTAGCTAAAAGCACTTTTATGGAAATATACCTGATCCTATTTCTGAGAAAGGAAGAAAACAAGAATAGCTGACTGCTGAGGTTTACTGTCATAAAAATCATACCCTGTACATTTTTTTCTATCAAGTCACAATGCAAAGAAACCCAACAAAAACCACACCCAAGAAAAGAAGCCTTTATAGATTTTTATTACATTATGTTTCACTCCTGCTGAAAAGAACTTTTTAATTGACCCAAAACCAAAGCTTTCAAATGTTCATTTGTTTATTAAATGCTGTCTTTCAAACTAGATTCCTTTTTAATTTGAAATTAAAACAAATGCCAAGGATTGTTCTGTCAAAACAATTAATTTTGTTTTCTTACCTCTTTCTTTGCAAATAAATAAGGCACTGCTTTTGATTCAACATAGAAAAAACCAAGACCTGACGATAAATTAGTTTAAACTGTATCAAACTAGATACCTTGACTAATATTATGCTGTATATACCAATGCTTTAAGCAAATCTTTGGTAGCAGGGAGATCACAGAAACAAGTATTTTACAATTGTCTTCAACTAAAACTCTAGTTAGCTGAAAAATATTATGAGCTTTTTCAGTTCTCTAATGTGCTTCTTGCAAAGTAATTTTGAATACGCTATTGGCTACTGGAATGAACTAAACAATTAGGAAAGAAAGAAAAACAAGAAAGAGATCAGCAAAATGAAAAATCAGGGGGAAGGGACTGGAAAAAAGAATTCTCACTCATCTCCCACGTGATGCATTGGTGCATATTAGTCTGCTTGTAATCATTTACCAACTTTGATACAACAAAGGTTTGTTAAAGAAAACATACTTTACAGTGTAACAGAATGTAATCATTTTCATCCCTAATCATTTAAACTGGATTAAATTCAATCCCTTACCACTGCCTTTCCATCCTAACTTCCCTTGCACCCCACTTTAGCACATTATCAAGATACTTACAACAGCAACAGGATCATTGCTTCGGGTGGCTGCCAGGCTAAAATTCTTCACATGTGTGTTGGTTTCTAAGGCTTTTGCAAATTCTTTCAGCGTTGGAATTGGTATGTTCTTGAATTAAAAATAATAGCATTTTACTCTCTTGAGATATGTAAGTTTTCCCCCCCCACCCCAGCTTCTTTCATTATCTTATTCTCTTTACAGCAAAATGTCCTATAATATGAACTATCACTGGTCTTGAGCAGTCTAACAGTAAAGATGCAGTGGCTACAAGGGTCACCAATTCTATAAAGCAATAATTTTTACAGGGTAGTATCAACCAAGCTTAAAAGGATTAATTTTAGATAATTAATTAGGGTAGCAAATTTCTCAGTTTATTATATCAGGAATTTTGATCTGTTGCCTTTTTAGACAGCTATTTTGGCCAGCATTTATCTATAATACAGTATTCTTAAACAACGTATTTTATTTTCTTCCTTTAGTAAGTGAAACAAGTAGCCTTGGCTGCTGACAAGGCTGTCACTGCTATCTGCACTGTAAGTCAGCAGTGCTATAGTTCTGTTTTCTTTCAAGCAAATATACAAAAGTTTGTCACATTTAAAAACACAACTGTTACACTCAGAAGCTGCCCTAACAGCCAACAGCTCTTTTGTACAAGAATCAGAGGCATGGCAGGTACAAATATAACTTTGTTTGCAACTGCAATAACTGAGAGCACATTGCTCCACCAAGGACAAAGGATTCAAAAAAGTAGTTCACAACAGTGAACTGCTGCCAACTTGGCAGCAACAGAAATCTGGGCTGGCAGTAAGAAAGTCTAAGACTTTTTAAATACACATTTGGCAAAAGAAACCAAGATGGCTTATTGGTTTAGCTCCAGGTTTCTGAGCTTATATACACTGCAACATTTAGCAAAAAGGCTGCTGTACTTAAAATAAGCCTCTCATGCTCTCTTAGAGAGTTCTGCAGCTTAAAGTGTCTTCTACTGAGAAAAAGCAGCATATTTACTGCAGGCTTCAGGTAATTACCTTAATGTTATTTAGATTAACTTCAACAAGACGAGAATCATTATCTTTAATCCTTTGCAGCGTCTCCTCCACATTTGTGGGATTTGGTGGTTCATCAAAAACAGGCAACATTTTTTCACCTTTTACTATATCTGAAAAGTAAGGCATTTCAGTGTAATCAAACAGGTTGCATACATTCACTGGGAATAAATGATACATATACTAAATATTTACTGTATTTAAAGATCATTTCATCAGTCTTTACATCTCTCCCCCACACAAAGAGCACACCATCCTCTCCTGAAATACTTTCATAAAGTTCAATCCTTTTCCAAAGGTCTTTACAGCCTTTCTGCTTTTATTGCACACCAGCTTTTTTCAGAAAGCACACAGAAGTTCAGTTGCAAACACAAATATAAAACCTAAAAACCAACACACACAATGCACGTTTGTGCCTACTTTTGTCACCAAAAAGTGACTTACCTGCAGTTTAGTGTACATATATTGTAATTCCAGAAGTCAATTAGCAAATGTTATAGACATACACATTTCCAGACTAAGACTAAAGAGTCTAAAAGAATGTTGGTGCAACAGAAAATAGTTAATGCAATAGTAACTGCATGCAGTACAAAGAATTAATTTTTCCAGCACTTGCATACAAACACTTACTTGAGAAGCTGTCTTTGTCAATCCCATTACTGCTTCCTACTACATCACAGAACTGATTGTTTGTTATCAAGTTGGACATTCCCAGTATAGCTGTAAAAGGAAAAAGAGAAACAGCAAAAAATCATTTTAATTGTTCCTGACTAATTCAGCTCAGATGAAGGTTCCTTTAACTAACAAAAACTGATGTCCATACAACATCCAGTTAACGGTACAAGAAGCCATTCAATACCTTAATAATTTAAAAAAGCAGAAAAAAATTAATTAGAGACTTTTTAGTTGGCTTTCATATCTTAGAAAAATTTGACCTCACCAGGTTCCAGCTTCAAAGTTAAAAGTGCTATTCAGTCATGAAATGAAGCTTAAGGAACACAGGTACATAACAACACATTCTTATACACAAGAAAAAGCAGCCACCCACACAACAAAAACCAGGAAGTCTCAGGAATGGATTTAAAGGTTTTGAGTTTGAAAATCAGGTATCTTTTGCAGGCCAAAATAATTTACCTTCCTATAAATTATCACAAAGGAACAAAGTTGAAACGCTACAAGGAAGCTGGCGTATAACATGATACAGTTTCTATCCCAACTACAACTTCCTGAGCTCAGATAAATACACTGCCACACTGATTATAGATCTTTCTTGTCTAAAGATGCACCAGCCCATTCATACTTCAAAACAAACTAACCTGCAAGGTCACCTAATTCTGTGTCTGTGGCACTGGTCAAGGCTTCCTCCAGTTCCGGATCAAGAGAGAATTTTTCTTCTGCAAAAGACTGTACAGGCTTTTGCTTGGGGATAAAGATTTTCCCTGGAGCAAACAAAATGAAAAGTCTGATGTTACTTTGTGTCATGTAGTTACTTATTTTTAAATTGTTCTGTATCTAAAGAATACATATTATATTTAGTAAATCCTGAGAAGAGCACCACAGACAGCAAAAAGGAATGAGGTTTCTTCTGTTTTTGCAAGTCAGAGATGAGGAAAGAGCATAAAAAGAATAAATTTTCAGGAGTCTGTATCATGACTCCAATCTTATTTAATTCTCCTAAGGATTCAAAAGTAACATATAAGCCTCCATTATACCTTTTAAAGAGTCTAGGAAAAGTGTCTAAAAAGATTTAGTATCACTAGAGAACAATGACCAGTATCCTCTCAGAGGAGGAAGGGACCCAGGCAGAACTTTAATCTGAATGAGAGAGTATATCAAAGAATTACCTGAAATCACAGACCTGTGTATTCAGTGCAGTTTTTACAGCATACATGATAATTTATAATTTCAGATGTGAACTCAGTTCTGAAGTAAAAAAAGAGATGCCCAAGATGCTTGAGAAAACCATGGTTTGTGAACAGCACAAAACAATATAACAGATTTCTCTGGCAATGACATTGTTTCCTGAAATGATACTTAGAAAGGCCATGAAAGATTCAATGGCAAAAGAAGCAATAGTAATACCACCAACTTTTTAGTTATTACAGGAAGTAGTAAGAAAAGTTATTTTAGAAGACATGCATTTTAAGTAGAGGTCTGTGTAGTTACCATAATTCCTGCATATATCTTCAGCTGAAAAGTTAGGGTAGGAAATCAGAATACAAGCAAGATATTCTGACAGTTCAGCTGTGAATGGTTTAGAATTGGCCTTTCAGAACACAGAAATCTACCCCTGGGTAGGAGCCAGGAGAGGTAAGGGGTGCTTAGGTTCTGGGCAAATTAACATGGTAAGTAAAAGCTCTGGTACTCATACATTTGATAGAAGTAATTCACTACTAGACAACCATGAATCAAATCTTAACAATTATTAAAGTTTTTCAGACTTTCCAAGTTGCCTGAGCTATCAGCAGAAAGAGCTATGGGAAAGGGGTTCCAACTTCCTTTTGTTATTTCCTGGGGTAGGAAGTGGTGTTGATAGTCTTCCTATGAAGTCTCAGTTCTAATTCAGGAACCCCCCCTCTTCCATATCCATAGTTATACAATATTTCCACACAGGAATCACCCCAGCTCATCCCAATCACATGATTACAGACCTCCTGGGCACAAACCAGACACTAAGATTTTTTTCCCCTCGTACTGCTCACAAGTTTATCTTGTTACATGCTTGGGCTAAGACTAAGTTTAGCACTTTTGAATACCTCCCAGTGACACAAAGCTTTATAGGGATGTTTCAGTTTTATTTAGGGGAAATGAAGTGGGATTTTGGTTTCACCACTGGTGGGAAGCAATGCTGAAGCCAGGCCCTGTGTCCCACAGTAGACACAGGCATCACAAAACCCATCCATCTCCTCTCTCTCTCTTCAAGTTCCTATCTTAAAGTAGTTGTGGTTCATTTTCTTTTTAAAGGAAGTTAGTGCATTACCTCTAGCACAGATTACAGAGAAGTACATCAGCTTTTTCTCTGACAACACAGTCTGATGATCAAGATCTGTTGCTAGCAACACAGTATTTTTGTTCCTGGGTTGCTATCTCTTTGGAAACTTGTATAAATGGTCATTATCCATATTTAGAAGCAGAAAATAAAACTCCTTACATAACTATAATGACTCCAAACAGTAGCTGAATGCAGCTGACATGTATTACCACCCATATCTCAGCTTTGATGGACAGTGTAAAAGAAACTGTTTGTGGTGATTCAGGATTAAAAGAAAACTTTCATAAAGTAAAGGCTTAGGTAGTAGATGCTGCAGGTTATTTTAATATAATTGATACAGTATGTTTCTACCATTTTATGTTACCAGCATCACCTACTGAGGAGAAAATAACTTTCAACTTAAATTGTAATTTTCAGAAGAGATACAAGAATGTTTGACAAGGTTTTAATTAACCCATGAAACAGCCATCCTCTCTGCAGCATCAGTGGAGCAGGCAGAGAGCAGAAGAAGGAAATCAATCTCAATTACAAGCAATTTTGCAAAAATGTATTTCAACCTAGATCAGCTTTCTGTCTGCTTCATCACACAGTACTCACAAAAAAAGAGCTACTTTTCCTGATGTTGCTTTTAAGTAATTCTTAAATTCATAGGTTAGGAACGTCTGGTTCTAGACATTTGCTTTCTAAGAGTAAGACTAAATTTATACATATGTGCCTGACTCTTAAGAAAACCTAAAGAGAGTGAGAAGTATATTCAATTTTTAATAAAGCAAAAATGTTAAAAGCCACTGCCCTCCAGAAATGTTCACTGCAGCCAACTCCAGTCATATGAACTGAGTCAGGAGCAGTTTTTGTTATAAAACAGGTCACACCCTTGTGTACATAATCTCTCATTCACTGGCTTCATGTCACCCTAGCCCAGAATTCAGAGGTTTACAATGCACACACAAAAGCAGGTCCTTCCCCACTCCCCACTTCTAGTAAGGAACTTACTTCAAAAGGGATAAGACCCCTGTGTCTCTGGGGACAATGATCTAACTCAAGGCCTGCTGCCAAGATAGTTTGGCAATTCCCTTCCTCTCTCACTAATGCAAGCTTTAAATAAAAAAAAAACCAGAAACCACTACACATCTGTGCAGCCCATGAGATGTACAGCTTTCCTGGCCCTCAAGTGGAACATTTCCAAATAGCAGGGATTTGATTACATGAAGGAACATGACATCCTCCTTCTCAGCCGACAAGGATATTGCAAAGATTAAGCAATACAACACAAAGAGGCAAATTTCAGGGATGTTCACATCATTTCTGTAATAATTATATATCCAAGTCTTCTATGCCTTTAAGCTAAAATGTTAGATGATGCACATCCCAGGATTAAGTCACAGGCTTTATCTGCTACAGAATGAATTTGCAGTCCCAAGTTCCACACAACTGTATTGCTCAAAAGGCAGGAACACTGGATGCTGTTTGTTGAAGTGCCCTGGACATTTCCTACACAGACTCACAGTATCCAAGGTGGGGCTCAGCATGTTGCAGAAATCAGGGCTGTTCAGTGGGGCCTATTGCTGGCACTATTCTCACACATCCCACAGTCCTACCCCCATTCCAGCAGGCAGCAAGCAGCCACAGTTTACACAGCAGAAGAAAGTCTAAAATCCTCTTTTATAGTACTCCATTTGTGGAAATGAATCAAGTGTTACCTCAGGACAACTGAATACAAGTTTTTCTCATCAGTGGCTTCAAGAAGAAAAGTGAGTAACATCTGATATATTCCTTACATCTTATGTTCCTTAAAGTCTCCTCAGTTCAGAAATCTGTATAATCCACACTTCGTCCATCTCCAGTTCTTACTATGTGAGAGACTTAAGTTCATCAATTCACTTGTAAGCACAATTTAATACTAATTTTTTAAAATTCAACATATGAGTGACTTCCTCAGTGTCTTACTGCAGAAACAGAACTGTTATTCGTTATCTGATTACAGATCACAGAGCAGTGAGTTAGAGAACTGTTTTACATTAAGGCTGGAGTATCATATGTTACTTTGCTCTAGTGCTCCTGTATGGAGAATGTCAATCCCACAAGCTCTTTCTGCAAAGCTCCTACAGGATATTAGCTTCACTTCACAACATGTTACACACTTCTTTAAAGACCAGGGATTCAGTGGCAAACAGAGAACACAGCATCCCAAATCCTGCTGCAGCAGAAGGCAGTGGTGATCCTGAGCAACAACTGAGCAGGGTGGCAACAAAACAGCTCCAGCCAGCTACAGTTTGAGCCTAACAACACTTTCTGGGTGATGCAGACAAATCAAAACAAAACAAAAAACAAACAAACAAACCCCTCAAACTTCAGCAAGCCCCAAGCATTAAAGCAGAATCAGAGAATCACAGAATCAGCTAGGTTGGAAAAAACCTCTGAGATCATTCAATCCTGCAGATTTACCCAGAACAAACACACCCGGCAGGGATGAAACGGGAAAGTTGGAAGAATAGGCTTCAATTAGGAAAGTACAAAGGCTAGAAATGCAAAGCTTAGCTTACACAATACTTTGCTAATGCCTTCCACTATACAGCACAAAGTACATTACTGATCTTAGATATGTTTTTATCTCAGGTGCAATAATTCAGTTCTTTTGCTGTTCCCAGAGAAGTGGGGAGCATTGGTCAGATGAGTGGAACACATTTGAGGGCAACAGTCTCCAGCACTAAAGCCTTTACTGTCTGCATGAGAGATCCTTCTGCTTGCAGTATGCCTTGTAAAATCTTTATGACATACTTCCATGCACAGATTAAGACAAAGCTAGTTTTGTTGCAATTATTACCACATTGCTCTCATTAATCTGTTGAACAATGCTTTACTGTATGGTTCAACACTTAATTGGAACAGAATGTGACTTAAATCATTAAATCATGTTTAAAAACAAAGTAAGTTTTTATTGATGTTTTTAGAAACACAATCAGGCACTGGAAAAATGGAATAGGACATAATGTAAAGATTGTTAAACTTCACATTACTTTAGCACTGTTCATCTCACTACTGGAGGACACTTTACATTATTTCAGATCTTCCACATTTCATAGCACAAAATAAAAGAGAGGTTCGAAAGACTTGGGGAAATCACGTCCTCTATCACTGAAAGAGATGCAACAGTGTTTTAATAACATGCTCACCCCAAAATGAGGTACTTGGGACACCTGGAAGAGAGGATTTTCCTTTACACTGTAGTAGGAAAACAAGGTTACCAGGATCGGCAGCAAGCCAGGATGGCTAAAATTAACCCAGGATAAGCTTCTTGGATAAATCTGCTGGTCAAATCACCATGCAGGACATCAGTTCTACTAAAATAGAATAGGGAGAGAGAAGGATAGATTTGCCCCTTCTTACTCCATGAAATGAATAATTAGGCCAAGTTAGAGCAACAAGACCAGCCAGGCACACAGAAATGTTTTAGCAAATCCTGACCCAAAAAATGGCACCAAGAAAACAGCTGCAGTCCAAATCCATCTCTCTCCTCCCAAAACCTCTGGAACTGAAGGTTGCATTTGTCAGTTTTCTTCTGAATTAACAGGAGAATCAGGCAAGATTTTCACCTACCCCTATTCTACAATGTTTTCAGCATTTCTCCATAATACATTGTTCTAGCCAAAGAGAAAAATTATTATCCATCCTAGTTGTTTGTTATTTTTTTTCTTTTAGTATTAAAGAAAAGCACATACAAGCTCCCTCTAGATAAAAAACATCCTACACATGTATTAAGTTTTACTTCATGCCCTTTCTAAGTTCTAAATCTAGATAAATATAACGATTTCTTGATTTAAAAGATTAAGTTACACAGATTTGCCATTTTTGTGCAAAATGATGCAAACATGGCAGCAAGTCACAGCTGAACCATAATATTGCCATGAGGGGGAAAAAAAGATTATCCCTCACCTACTACAAAATGAGCTTGGCCTTCTTGCCTCCTGCCCATTTACCAGAGCATGAATTTCCACAGAAAACATTTGTTTCCACATTTTTAGTTTTAATGAAAGTAAGCTCCATTCCATTTTTTTCCATTTTTCGTATTATTTTCTCTTCTTATATGGCATTAAAATAAATGGTGGAAAAAGTTATTAAACAGCAACTTTTTTTTTTTTCCAAGAGTTACAGGAAATTTTACTAACTAAACTGGTATGACTCATTGCAACATGCAGACACACTGCTGTTTAGTAATACTTTATTACATAGAGGAAATGACATTTGATCTTTCTTAACCAAGATCTACGTTACAGCTGGTCCCTTCTGTTTTTCTACACGATTCTCACAGATTTTATCTACCCAAACAAATAGTTGTGCTGTGTGCATGTATATGTAAGCTGACTTTAGAGAACCACCCATCTGAACCATAAGGCATCACACCTGCTGCTATGGGTACCTTCTGCATTCAATACATTGCAATATCCTCATCTCAGTTACTCTTACAGATCCTGTCAGCAAAGAAGTGTCACAGTTATCTCAACACAAGTGGTGTTAAACTTCAAACTAAGGTAAAACACAGTGTATGAAGGAAGTACTACATGATACACAGAGTGCAGCACACTGTGAAGTCATAATCCCTCTATTACTTCAAGGAAAAAGTAGAAAGACACCAGCATTGTCAAGCACCTGGCACAGGCAGAGAAAATGCAAATATGCCCAAGAAAATTTTCACCAAATATACACCACTATCTTATAGACAAACTCAGTAGATGAATGAAGACTCAAATCTGAAATAAGCTATGATTCACGCCAGAGAATTAAGCAGAATTAAAGGGTTTCAAACCCTTAAGAAAAGAGGAGCCTGTTCATCTTGGGCAGCTGGAATACAACTTAGCAACAATTTGCTGAAGTCTTAGTGCAGCAGATCTGCCCCTGCTGCTGGGGAAGGTTCAGACAAGCCCGGATTCACAAGCACTCAAACACTTGCAGTGACAGCTAAAGGCCTCCTGCTATGCACATGTACCCAGCACAGCTCTGGGAGTTTCTGTCCTTACCAATACTGCTTGGTAAGGCACAGCGGATTTGGGAACTCTTGTTTTATGGGAAAAATATGAAGTTATTCTTACAATATTTAAGAAGCACATTATTATTTAATTTTCTCTTGAAAAGGTAAATGGTCCCATCAAGTCAATGAGAATACCAGATCCAAAGCAAAAATTTCTAATCCCTGGCTTTAATAACATGTCCATGGTTTTTAGACCACAAACCACTGCCAGATTTCAAAACTTGTTGTGATGTTAACTATGTAATTAGTTAGTACTAACTATGCAATCTTATTAAACCTTTCAGTAAGGACACTAGAAAAACAACATGACTGCATACACCACTTGTCTGGCCTTGTCAGCCTCCAGCATCTTTGAACATTACTGAGTGTCACCCACGACACTGCTCAACTGCTATTTTTCTGATTCAACACAGCATTACAAAGGTTGCTGTCTGTGTTTAGCACAAGGCACAAGCCACAGGCACAATGACAGCATTTGTTATTACTGACGCAAATCAGGGTTAGCTCTTACTTTGAGGATCCCATCCCCATCAGAACTTGGCAATTCATGATAAAACCTTTGAGTCTTATTTCCTTCCTGTGCTACATACAAACAGCACACCAGCTCCAGAGGCACAAAATGCCTGAACAGGAAGCCTTCTGCCTCTGCACAGCAGCAGCACTCACTTGGGAACGCCGCGAGTCAAAAAGCATTAGAGCAGCCAGTGCTCCAATAAAATTCGGTTCACAGCAGTTCTGGCTGGTCCACTTCAGGGATTTCACAACCACTTGCACCAGAAAGGGTGGTGTTACCTTTCTTTTCTCTTGTAAAAGGCACATAGTCCTCCCTGTCTTTGTGCTCCAGCGCCTGCTTCTCCAAGTACGCCAGGAGTCGCTCCCGGTCGAAGGGACCCGAGGCCTTCTTTGCAGTCTGGTCCTTCTGCCGGAAGCCTGCGGGCAGCAGAGCATTCTGCAAAACAAATGGAGCAAACAAGAACAGCTGAGAAAGTCTGGGGGAACACCTGCTTAGTTTCATTTCCCTCTTCCTTCTCCCTCTCCGCAAGGTTCAAACCTGAGACATCATCCTTTTCAGGCAAACTCTGATCTCTTGCCAACTTCCTTTTTTTGGGGCACGGGAGGACACAAAGTAACCTGTTCTTTAGACACAGAGAATGCAATGTAAAATACAGCACACTGCCCTCTGAATAGCACTGAAGCAATTCTTTAAGTACAATAGCTCCCAGCACTCGATTTGCTAGTTAGTTTGAATTTCGTTTCTAGAATGAGCACTGTTTAAATGAGTAGGAGTAAATAAAACTCAGCTATTTCCAGTTTAGACATTCAGTAAAAGCCTACTTCCTCTATCATTTACTTATATGTTTCTAAGTCTTTAAGACAACTGACTCTACTATTGTTTGGCATTTAACACAGAGTATTGCTACCTTTTGACCTGACTCAAAGTGGGGTGTTTCTTTGGTATGATCAACATATTTTAACTAAAGAGAAAAAAAAGAGGATATTAGTAAGGAAAGAACAGAATGTATAGGAATTCACACTCTTTTAAAAGACAACCAATCCCTTTTGCCAGTTCTCCCCTGTTAAAATGCTCATAAAGCCAAAGGCAATTAAAATATCAATAATATCTTGCAGTGCAACAAAATAGGTGATCATAATATTCTTAACTGATCCCTGAACATCAAGATTAAACTTAATCTTAAAGGAAAAACAGAGAACCACTAGGTGAAAACACAAGTCTTGGAGTCTGACATTAGCTGCAGTATCAGTAGAGGACAACTCAGCTCTTTATAGCAGAAAGCTGTAATATCCCAATATTCCAATACTCCATGCTGACATAATCATTCAGGAGCTCAGTAATTATTTGCCTTCTCTTTACAAAGTCAGCATGAGGACACCAATAGATACAGACTACCAGATACAGGACCAGGAATCTTCAGAAGAGGTTAGCACCCTGCCTCTCCCATCAAACTCTAACAGCAGAAGCAGTAAAATAAAAATGGATGCAAAAGGGCTGTTTACTGGAAACAGGAAAGTTAAACAAGCCTTTCTAAATAAACTTTCTTTTCAAGAACATGACAAAGAGCAATTTTTATTTATAAATAAATCCCAGAAAGCTCCTCCTGACTATCCTTTCTTCCATTCTCCTCTATTGCAGTTCCTTGCAAACAGGAAATAAACATTATACACATGTATATATATGGAAGATCACCAGCAGACTAGGAAAAAGCTCTGTCCAAAAGTATATCATACAAAGTCTCAACTTATTTTACCCAAGTTATGGAACAAATGAAAAAAAATAAAACTTCTTTTGGCTAATGCCTACCTCAGGGTCAAGATCATCCAAAACAGTTTCCAGTTGTTTCAGTTCTTCTTCTGAAAGTTTGCCAAGAATTTCATCCTCATCGAGATCTTTGTACTTGTCCAAGTCCTTTCGAAATGGGAGCGTCATGACTTGGGCAGTAGCAAGTTGCTCAAATACTTCAAAACCCAACTCTTAATTCTTAACCAGATCTATGAAAAAAAATTTTAAAAACAAATAAATAACCACAGTTAAGGTAAATATTCAAGCATCTTCAACCTCCAAATACATCTCTGAAAGGAAAGTTTTTCATCCAGTAGTCATATCTGTTGCCCTACAGCAGCCAAGGAGCACGTGGAAGCTGTGTACACCTTCCTTCTCCACTGATGAGAATCCTGTCCTGCCATGCCCTTTTCCATCAGTAACCAAGCCACATCTATTGCCAGATGAAAGTCAGTACCCATTCTTCTCAATGAGAACTCCAAGGCCATAATTCCCTCAGAGCAGGGCAGGTTGTAGGATAGGAGGGAGGAGATGCCAACTATACCTAGTATTTATGAGTCCAGTTAACCCCAGTGGTTTTTATGCAGATGGTTATTTTGACTGCAGATAATGCAGCCAAAAGAAGAGTTAAGATGCTCCTCATTTATTGTTGCTACTGCAGTTTGAGGGCAGTTAAGGAGAACTCTATAAACAAGCTAATTGGTTATTACTGACTCATATCCCTGCATATTACCTACAGAGGAAACAGAGGAAGTCTGCCTCTGAGTTAATTATAGAACTACCATTGAAGCAACATTCCGTTCTGTACAAGGAAAATCAAAATACCTTGATGAAAAGCGTAGGAAATACAGCTCCTAAGCAGCAGCACTCCAGTCAATCCTACAAAAAAAAATTAAAAGTAAAGAACGGGCTGTGTAACTGCTCTCTAAATATTATACTTGGACAAAATCAGGGTCCTTCAAAAGATGTACAGTCTATATAGCACTTCTCATGGGCAAGCAGAGTGCAGGGAACCTTTTTTTTAATGCTCAGAATTTTTTAGCATTTGTCTTGGAAAAAACCAGTTAATCACAGCAGTGTTAAAGCAGACAAGTTGTTTCTTCTCATTTTTCTGAAAGAAGTTACAGGATTCTCATTTTGTTCAGCCAAATTCCTGCTTCAAGTTGATTGAGCACACAGACAAAAAAAGGTAACTTGAATGACTCTCTGTAGGTAAGAAAGAGAGTCCACGAGGTATTTGGGGAGCAAATCTAAATCCATACAGTCAGGCTCATCAGTCTCCTTAAATCCTTTCTTGGCTCTATACAAATACTCGACACAGACCAGACACACAGCAAATGTTATTTCTTCTCCAGTAGCCCCATTCCAGGTCAGATGCTCACACCACACACACAACTGCATTACTTCAAACCTGCACTTACAATGGCCTTCAAAAACAGATCAATGTAGTTATTGCCTCTTAAGTAAAATGAAAAGAAGGACTGTATATACATACACACTATACCATGGAATCCTGCTTAGAGGATTCCTTCACCTCAGTTGTTTACACCAAGAAAGGTCTCCCTGGCTGCCACAGTTACATACAGTGACATTTTAATTCAGAGACACTAAACAGACATGAGCACATAAAGCTCCATCCACACCATTCAGTCAAGTGTACCTGTAAAGTAAATCTGGTTTTAACAATTTGCCATTGCAAGAACGGTAAATTTTCAGTCCCTACCAACATCTACAGCTGAATGAGGAATATATTTACAGCTATTTTCAGCATGTTTTCTTTTAAAAAAATATTGCTGATATAAATACTAGAGCTTACTTGTAAACTACAGCTGACATCGATGGAACACAATTCCAAAGCTGAACTACCAACTTAGACAGAGTTCTCTTGAACATAACAAAAACCAGGAGGAATTCCCAATTCATGACAATTCCCAAACCATGACAGTGGTAAATAACATCAAAAAGAACACTGTCTGGCTTCCTCCAAACTAAACCCAATCATGTTGGAAGAGCCTGGACCTTTTGCAAGAGGCTACAGAGGTAGGAGCATCCGAGTTTGGTGGCTGCAGAAAAGGCAGAGAGCAGCAGACCTATGTTTTCCTAAGTTCCAAAAGTAACTAAGGAGTGTCTCTGTGGCCAAGAGAGCCACCTCCCACAATTCTCCATAGTCTAGTGCTATTTGTTTCTCCAGGTGCACAGCAGCTGATGGACAATTAGCTGATGACAGCAGATGCCACACAATCTGCATGAGAACTTCTCATTCCTAGAGCCTTAATGTTTTGCCCTTCCTGACAGTTCAAGCCATTACACACTATCATAAGAGAAAACATTTCCTGCAGCTGATTACACAGCATTGTTTGGGACCAGGCTGCACTGTCTGAGCCCTACATCAAGACTCTGCTATTTACCACATTTCTGCATGTCCATTTGCATTCAAATATTAAAAGGTGTAGTTTTAACAGGTAATTACAAGGAGCAGAATGGTTAGTAGGCTGCAGAATAATGCTGCCCTTACTCTGAAAGAGAGCAGCACTGCATAACCATACATTACTTCATGTAGGCTGTATTTCCTCTCCATTAATTGCTGTAAAATGCTGCCATCCAGAATTAATTACCTTTTATTTATTGCACTGGTATGTTTCATATGGGAAAACTACTCATCTTTTGTAATACATTAATTAATGTTCAGGTCACAGCCCTTGGTCTCACTTGTTTCTGTAATAAGACCAAAGTAGCCATTTCAAATCCTTAGCTACAGTGTTCAGACACACACACACACAAAATGAAAAATAAAGAAGCAGAACAAAAAGCCCTATCTCTCTGTAGCTGAGCCTTCACTTCATCAAGAGGAAGAGAACCACATGTGGCCTGCCAAATATAAATGTATGTTTTGGACATATTTTTTTAATGCCTATCAAAGGTAATTTTTTTTTAAATATGAAAGCACACAATGTGACAAACCTGTAAAACTTTATGATGGTAGCATTGACTAGCACATCTGTACTACACAGAGATTGCTTGGTAATGACTTTCAGAAACATTCCCTACAAAAGAAATCACAGCATATAAAACACTAGCATATAACATACTAAAAATCAAGTTTTAAGACATGGTGTTAGGAATTCTCATTGCATAAAAGGGGCATAAAGGCCAGCTGAAGCCCTAATCTAACCAAAGAAGCCCTTCACCTCCCATTAAACACACAGTAAAACATACTCTATTTGTTTTCCACCACTCACTGCAGCAGTTCTGCATAGAGACATGAGGAACAAACTACAAGTTTTTAGAAAGAGCAGTTACTTGGCCTATGAATATTTGTGGCACATTATATATATGTGTGTGATCTTACTGCAGAATCACAGGCAAAGCTGTAACCCTCAATTTTGGCTTTGCAAATACTTTGCCCTTTTTTGATGAGCAAGCTAGTTTTCTTCTAAGTATCCTTCTTAGCTTTACCATGAAAACATTACATATATTAAAAGTCCAAAGGGCTTTTTCAGATATATAAGTATAAGGGGAAGTTCTTCAGCGACTTCATAGTCACATAAGAAACATTTAGGGAAATGGAAACAAAGCCATCACTTCCAGTCCACCAAATTTCAATTCTCTGTTTGTTTATGCAGAAGACAAATTGAAAAACCAACAATGAAGAAATTCTGCTGGACATCACAGAGACAAAAATCTTGTCATTATTCCTTTCCCTAAGAAATCAATGAAGAACTAAAGAAATGAGAAAACAGCAGTAACTTTAATTTAGGCCATTTTATAATTACCTGAATCATCCCCTGAAAGACTGTCAAGCAACTTCCATACACCTCTTATCTACAAGTTAAAATATTTTTGTTTTCTCCTCTCCTCTCTGAAAGTGTATTTTTAAAAAACAAAAGATTCTAAAAATAGCAAGCTACCAATTATCTTTTAAAAACTCCCCCCCCCATTTCTATTATATTTAAGGTCCAATTTCTTTGGACCTTAACAGGAGAAACTCTCTAGAAACAAATTGCCCGCAGGAAACTCCAGGGTTGTTAAAGTCCACTGCAAATGGTTTCCGTGACTTGGATTTTAAAATAGAAGCAACATCACGAAAAACAAACCGAGCTGGTTTTGGCCAGCACATTCACAGAGTTCACTTTAATCTCATTTGTTCCTCCCGAGCCTCCTTCCCCCCAGCCTCTGCGTGAACCCGGCCCAGAGCAGGGGGGTCCACAGGGCTGTCAGCATTCCTGCACCACTCAGGGCCCCAGACCATCCCAGCTCCTTGGAGGAGCCTAATCTGAGCATTTCCCCAGGGAACCCTGACGATGGCAACAATTTTATTTTCCAGTGTGCGAGATTATACAGAACTGTTTATGAAGAATGTGCTGCACTTGAAAGAGCTATCTTTACTTACCAAAGCTAGGAGAAAAATTAGTAAATATAAATATTACCGTAATCCCAGAAGGTTCCTTAGGATGTTTTTCTAATGCCTTATGATAACTCTGCTGAACAGCCCAATGCTGCTTTTCTTAGCAGAAAGCTCTCAAAAACCCACCTGAGCCTCCCAAAACTCCAGCCTGGGGTAGGGCACAGGATCCAGGTTCTCCTGCCCAGGGAACCAGCAAACAACCCCCAGCCCAAAGCCTTATGGAGCCAGCAGGTGGCAGCTCATCTTTGCCTAAGCTTTTTGTCAGGGTAAATTGTATTTTCCAGGCAGAAAGGAATAGCTATTCTGGGCTATTTTCCTAGAAAAGCAAGCCCGAGGCTTCATCCTGTTCACAGAGACAATTCACTAAGTTTTACACACGGCAAACTGGACTTCCCCAACTTCACATTTGTCCTCGAGGTGACCCGAGGAGCGGATGGGGACAGACAGCTCCTGCAGAGGAGCTACACCGACCATGAAGATGCTTTCATGATGAAGGAAATCTGAACACATCTGTGTTTGCACTTCCTGCCAGCTCCTCCTCTGTATCAGAGGGCACCTGGAACCAGACAAGGCCCACTTTGCTCTTCTATATGTCCTGTATACAACAACACTGAACTAAGGCACCGCTATCTTGCAGGCAGGGTGCTCCAAGTCATGGCTAAGCTGTCCAGCTGGCATTGTCCCATAAAAACTTACTCCTGTGTGCCTGTTTTTGAAAAGCAGCCACCCACACTGCAGGACTAAATGAACATGCCCACCCAGCCCAGGCAGTGGCGAGGGTGACAGGGCCAGGAGCCCTGAAGCCTGTACTTGGCAAGCTGCACAGGGCACGGAAGTGGCAGCAGTTCAGCACACCCATCTCCATGACACTTCCAGGCACGCTCATCAAACTTGCTGCAGGGCAGCTGTTATGATCCCAAATAAACACAAGGCCAGGATAAGGTAAAAATCCCAGGTACCACAGATACTGCCTGCCTTGAGAAGTTCCTCTGGTAGAAATTGCCACTCCAGCTGTCCATTCCCTCTCCCAATGTGCAGGGCAGCACCACTGAGTCAGAAGTTATTGACCAACCAGGACGAGGGATGTTTTGGCATCATTTTTTTTCAGACAATACTTGGATGTTCATTAGAGATCTACTGCACATGGACATTAATACACAGTATCTCCTCCTGGAGGAACTGCCTGCAGGTGTTTTGGTCAAAAAGAAACACCAGGTGCAAGCTATCTGAAAGTTTATAGAAACATTCAGATATTTCAATCTATTGCAGAGAAGTGGAGAAACTTGCAAGCCTAGAACAGGACAGCAGAAGAAATTAATTTCATTCCCATTATGTTACTTCAGGAAAACTTCTGAGTACGAGCCAGTTTCAGGTTCTCCCTTACATCATGGTCTGTACACCTGACACAGTCCCCAAACTCTAATTGATTCGGTACATTATAGCAAACTCAAAGCACACAGCAACCTCTCTAGAACATCGATTACCTTCAACACAACCTGCGCCTACCCACAAAGAGACGGGCTGACAGGGGCTGGGAACAGGCCTCCGAGAGCTCCGTGCCCACCGCCGGGACAGGCCGGGAGCTGCTCCCCCCGCCCGGGGCCCGCTGCCGGTGCAGGGAGCGCACCCCGCCCCGGAAAGGCATCCCTCCGTCACCCAGCGCCGGGCAACCGGGGCAAAACACAGCGAGCGAACTGCAAGGGTTACGCTGACCAGACCCACAGGCGAAGCTTTCAAAGACACATCTTCGGGTCCCACGGCAAAGTCGGGAGCCGGCTAAACAACCACTCACCCCCTCACCGGCACGCCCCCCGCCCGGCCCCTCTCAGCCCCGAGCCCACCGACCGTGCAGCTGCCAAGCCCTGCCCCAGCCCGGACCTCCGAGACACACCAGCGGGGGTCCGTGTCCGACGGGGTCCGCCGGGGTCCGGCCGGCCGGGCGCCCACAAAGCCCCGTCTTTCCTCCTCCCGCCGCGGGCGCGGCCCCTCCCGCCGGGCTCCCAGCGCGCCGCGGCAGCGGGCGGAGGGCAGCGCTCGCCCGGGCCCTCCCCGGCACCCTGCGGCCGCCAGCACCCGCCGCCCCGTCCCGTCCCGTCCCCGCGGCCGCTCCCCGCTCACCCGGGCGGCGGCCGGACCCAGCTCCCTCAGCCCGACCCGCGCCTGCGCCCCGCGCACGCCGGGAGCCGCAGTCCGGCCGCGGGCGCAGGCGCGGGCTCGGGGCGGCGCCTCACGGAGCGGGCCCGGCCCCCGAGCTCCGGGCCCGGCCCGGGGAGCGGCGGGATCGGGCGGGGTGCGGGTCCGAGAAGGGTTCGCTGGGGAAGGTGTCCCTGCCCGTGGCAGGGAGGTTGGATCGAGATGGTCTGTAGGGTCCCTTCCAACCCAAACCACGCTGTGGTCGTAGGTGCGTGTGGCAGCACCTCCCAGCCTTGCTCGCAGGGGGCAAACTCCTGTGTGCCTTCACGGCTCCGCATCCTCGCAGATCTCTCTTGTTCCTTCTTCTTCCTTCATTTGGCCCCTTCAGGTCTTCACCTCTGCCCACATTTTGCTTTTCCTGTGTTCGAAACATGCAGCTTTTCCCCTCTAGGCTGTGGTTGCGTTCGATGTCCTGTCTCTCCCTGACCGACAAAAGGAGGATTTACAGGGACACAGTGGCTTCTCCTGCTCCTATTGGCACGAAGCAGGTGGAGTCCAAGCCTTCTCAGGCTCTGGTGTGTGCTCAATGAATTTTTTGACGTTTCGGTTAGCAAATACCATGCACTAGTAAACACCTTGTGCTAGTAAACACTATCTGTGTACAATTGTTTAAGGTTTATAACGTGAAAGAAATCTGGACAGGTTGTCTTGAGAAAAGTGAAAGGTTTAACTTGATTTAGTCTGTTCTCTGCCAAATTTCAGTCTACATGAAAGCTGGAGCTGCTCACAGGCACCAGTCTTCAGAGGTCTGATTTTTTTACTGTGAGTTCTTATCTCAATGTTGAAAACTTCAAAATAAATAAAAAACCACAACTGTTAAAATTAAGGCAGTTGTCTGGTATGTGCTACTTGAATGGCTAAGTTCTGGCAACACAATGGAAAATAGGATTTTACAGCAGAAACTGTTGAATAACTATCCTTGTAGGCATTGCCATTCATGCCTTCAGAATAAGGCATTTGTAGCATGAAAATTATAAGTAATAATCATTAATTAGTTCAGATACAGCAGTTTGAACCTGCATTTTCCAGATATCAAGGGTGCTACAATACTGCTATGATCTAGAGAAAATGATTCCCAGGCTTACACAGTAGGTAATACTGAGATTCTGATTTTTTCAGAGTCGCTGGAAACTCTTGGCAGATTTGGGAAAAGAAATTGGTGGTGAAATGTTGGCCCCACGGGCATCAACATGAGTTCTGCTTCAGTGGTGCCAAGATTTCTGTAAGATATATAGAGTGTCAGGTATCATACATCAACAATGTTATTTAATACAGAGTTTATTTAAAATGTTTTAAATTCTAATAACTTATGGCTAATACATTACTTAAAGATAGTTTGCAAAGTCCTGACTGTGCTTAAGTCATTAGTGAGGCTCTTATTAACTTTAACAGAGATAGATAAATTTTATTAAAATCAGATTTGTGCAAACCTAAAATGGAACAGTCCTTATTTGTTGGGCTGAACCATCTGAGAGGCTTCTCTTCAAAGGAAGAAGCTCCCAGTGCACACAAAGGAGGCTGGAGGCAGTCAGCAGGTGATGGGCTTTTGACCACTGTGAGATTCTCCCTCATGAGGCAAGAGACTCACAAAGCCATGCTGAGCCCTTCTGGCACCATGGGTGAATGAAGAGGCACTTTTATAACCACAAGAGCACTTCTGCAAATGCTCAGCAGTAGATTCATAACCCTCCAGTCATTAGAAGGCTCGTGATTTCCAGGCTGACAGACCAACGCCTGCATCAGGGGGCAAACATAATGTTCTCGACAGGATTAGTAGAGGGCTTTCTTTTTCAAAGACTGGGATGCAATTTAAAACAATCTTACATAGAAGAAGAACACTTTTTGAAGAAAGTGTTGCAAATATGAAAACTGAAAAGACATAGAAGACCTGGACAGCAGTGGAACTTCCACTGGTGCTGAAACAATGCACATGCACAGCAAGAGTGGATGCAGCACGGAGCTTCCTCACTGCTGTTCACTGAGCTGAGCTGTGCAGAGCAGGAAAGGAGCATCCAGAGCCTCAGACATAATCCTAAACTGATTAAATCATAACATATTTGCTATCTACAATGATGATGTGGTACAAATGAAGCACATTGGTTCAAAGCATATGTCTTGAGAGAGAAATATCTTCCTGTCTGGGGAATTCACCCGGGATGTAGACAGGAAGGATATTGTCAGTAAAGTAGATGATAATAAAAAGCGATGCCTGACCCTCTATCCTATATATCTTTTTTTTTATGAGAGTGGACAAACTCAGATTGAAACAAACTATGACTGAGGAAATCATACTTCTTCCAATGGCAGCAAAGAAGGACACGGTTCAGTCCTGGTTCTCTTGAGACACAACCCTAACACTTGGAGAACTTTATGTTCTGACATGAAGGGTTAAGATGAGCGTATTCCCATGAGCAGACTGGCTTGTACAGCCTTTGGTAGGAGGCCACAGGGGTAGCTACCTACCTGTGTTTGGGAATTTTTCCCTCTTCTTGCAGATGGCTGCCTTGTGGCCAGCCCCAGACCAGCCTAGCTGAGGTGTGTCTGGAGACAAGCTCAAGCACTGACCATCAGACCCACAGCATTCTAAGCCCTGTCGAATGTGCTCTGCCCAGCATGTGGGAACACACCTCACAGGGTTTTGTTTCTCAAGTGCACCGCTAAGACCATTTACACATATCCAAAATATCCCAATTCTCTGTGTACTGGCTGTATAAAAGAAACGTGTTATGAGGAGCTTCCCCAGTGCATTCTGGTCAGCTACAGTCGGCCTTTGTCAGACCCCAGGCTCTTTAGATAAGGAAGGAAATCCAATGCTGAACAAGTTGTCCTGCAGATCTGTTCATGGAGAAGGAGCTGGAGCAGAAAGGTCTTCACCATTTGCAGACTCTGTAAAGAGAGGACTACAATATCTGTTGGCTCCTGCTCCCTTCTGAGGAGCAAACCACTTTAAATGGGACACTGTAAAGGAGGTGGAGAGCTGGCCTGTGCCTCCAAAGTCTCCTTCTCACACCAGGACAGACAGCAGAACTGGGGTGGGTGGAGAAGCCACTGTATCTCAGCAGACGGAGTAGAAGTCATGTTGCCTTTACTCCAGGGAAGAGTGAACCAACCCAAAGCACACTTTTGAGCATGCTGCCTGGAGCAGAGCAGGGGTGCATAGGTGGGTACAGAGGGTGGTGAGGTGCTGAGGTCTGGGCCCAGGGTCAGCAGTGGTTTTCTTATGTCCTTGGGCAATTCCTTCCACCTTTCAGCCTTCAGCCGTGTTCCTGTCCCCAGTGGCATGAGCACCAAGTGGGCC